AAGCAGGACAGATGAAGATACTAGGATGATGCTTGTAGGTCAGCTCATTGTCAATCTTGACTGCCCATCTCGTGAACTCGGGAAACGGTCCAAAATGTAAAACACGGAATGACTCACGTCATGTTCTTCAACAAGCTCTTCAATCCTTATCATGAACCGTACAGCTTTTTTCCACTCGGTAAACAAGTATATCTTCACCCATCGATGCATTTGTAGTTGTTCCCATCGTTCGACTTTTTGGGAGTCTTTTGAAGGTAGTAGTCGGTCCGAGGGGGAAGAGGAGATGGAGAGAACTTTTGGGATGAACCAAGAGGTGAAAGGATGAGAAATGTCAGACGTGAACAGAGGTGGACCGATAGTTGGATCGGACCAAGGGACGTCTGGTGATCTGGTGACAAGTGATTGATTGAAATGGACGGTTGAGTGGTGGCATCACATGACCTGTCAGACATTCTCCAAGAGAGCTGAAAGACATGTAGGATGTAGGAAGGGTTGTGTCATGATACCAACGATCGGTCGGGGCTGACATTGACGTTGACGCTGACATGGACATGGACGTTGACGTTGACATGGACATGGACGTTGACGTTGACGTCGTAGGTCGCAGGTGGTAGGTCAATATTGCTCCATTCCCGTTCGATGAATCCGCTTCGTCGTAAAGTAGTATCAAGTGGTAAGTAGTAAATTGGTCATGGCGTAAACCGTTTTCGACAGTGTGAGTGTGAGTGTGAGTGTAACAGTATAGTGTAGGGTAGTGGAAGAGCGCGTCCTAAAAGCAAATAGCAAACAGCCAATAGCCAATAGCCAATATCGATGGGTTGACTCTACTTGGAAACGTCTTGAACGAACATGTAGACTCTCCTCTCCTTGGAAAAGTCAAGAGTTGAGAGGTCAGAGTGGAGAGTGGAGAGTGGAGAGTGGAGAGAGAGGTTCGAGTTGACAAGTCGAAAGAGTCGACAGTTGGTCTCCCTATGTAGCACCAAGTTACTCTCTCTACCAACAGAGAAAAACAAGACGGATGTTTCGATCATGTTGACCCGACCCGACGAATATCATCATCATGTCGGTCGAGGCCGTGAGAGATGTCAGGTCAGGTCAGGTCAACCTAGATACCTGACGGAAGAAGTAACGTTTAGTCGGTACATATGGGATATGGGAGTTGTTTGCGTTTCTTCATAGTCCAAGACAAGAGGCCAGTTGAATCGCGGTGGACAGGCCGAAAAATGGATAATGGACAAATGGACCTGCCGCGTGATGGGTGGACGAGCGGATAGGTCGAGGTGGTTTTTCGCAGATGCGACAGCGAGTATGTGTGTGTGCGTGTGCGTGCACATGTCATCCGTGTCGTTCTGGATTGGTCAGCCATGTTGCGGGGTGGACGAGACGAGACGAGACAGGAATATCGACGACAAGGAGGGGAGAGGAGAGCGATAGGGACTACATAGAGACGAGGGAGTGACCGATGGATGGAGAGAGGGTGAGTCAGTGATGATGATGAATAGACGAATGGACAATATTGGTTGAGGAGATGAGTACACGGCCACACCACGACGCACAAGTACAAGTCGCAAAATCGGAGCAGGGGGGGAGGGCAACGACGAGACGAGACGAGACTGACATGTCATGTAGAGAGAGTTGTTTTACATATCTGTCGATTCCCAAAGGATTTACTTTATACGTTTCGACGACAAGTTCAAGATTTACATTTCAACAACAAGTTTACATACCTATCGACCATTTCGTGATTCCCAAACTTGTTGGCTATTGCCAACTTTTCGTATAAAACGTTCAAGACGTATCGTGATAGGGTTACTTGGTGAACGACATGTTCATCAATCGTGGTGATGTACGTCTTTTGATTTTGTTTCTTGATCTTTGTCTTGGTTTTCGTATTCATCTTCTTATCCTTATCCTTGGCCTTATCCATGTTACTTTTCGTGTTCGTGTTACTCACGGTAGGAAGAGACATGTCCGTGTCCGTGTTCGTATTACTCACGGTAGGGGGAGATATGCTGGTATGTACGTCGAGTTTAGAAATCATCTTCCTTTTGGTTTTTCCATCTTTCTTTCTCTTTTTCGGTCGTCTCGACGTTTTCTTCAAAGTTTGTTGTGTTTTCGTTACATCTGGAAGAATCTTTTCTTTTTTTCTTTCTCTTTCTCTTTCTCCTTCACTTTCTCCTTCTCTCTCTCTTTCTTTTTCAATTTCCATTCCCTCGACTCGTCGTTTTCTTTCTGGTCCCATTTCCATTTCCATTTCCATTTCCATCCCCTCGACTCGTCGTTTTCTCTTCCCTTTGAGTGGGATATCATCCAGATGAACCTTTTCCGATCCTACTTTCCCAGATCCTATTCTCGTTCTTTCCTCGACCAGTCTTTTCTCCTCTGTATCCGATCCGACCATTCCTATCGTCCTCCTCCCCTCAATCTCTCCCGTATCCGATTCAACAAGCATTCCCACCGTCCTCCTCTTTCTCTTCATGGGTAAACCATCCGAAAGTGAAAGGTCGACTTTGTAGAGTTCATGATCGAAATGAGTATGGTTCATATCATGTACATGCAAGTCGTATTCGTTTTCTTCTTCACCCTCGTTTCCTTTTCCCCTATCTCGATCTATAGAACACGAATCGAAGGCCGAGTCTTCGTGATGATGAGGATCATCATCCGTACAATCTTCATCGTGGTCAAGATGGATAAAGTCTTGGTCCATACAATGTTCATCATCACGATGGCTATCCGTACAGTCCGTTTCATCTAGAGGTAGAGATGCAGATGGTGTTGTTCGTGTTGTTTGACGATCATCATGAGAGATTTCATCGATGACGGTTGAAGGTTTGGCTGAACGTAAACGATTCGAATCTGTTTTCCTAAATGGTAATGACGGTAATATCGATGACGACGAAGAGGATGATAATGTCAAAGATCGTTTTTCCAATTCCAACGCCACGTCCCTTAAAACTTCAAGGTTGTTGATTTCCGGATGAAAAGGTGAAGTGAGATTGGTATGTGAGAATGAGGTCGGTAGGGTGGTTGCTATTGTTGTCGAGTCGATATCGGAAATAATGGTGGATGTTGAGGGAAACGGGATGATCTGTGATGATGAGCTCAAGCCTGTGGACGTTGAAAAGATGAATGGTGCTGGACGAACAACGAGTTCACGTGATGATTCAACGAGGGAAAAGAAAACAAGAGGAAAGTGAAAGTTGAAAGAAAAGGAGAAGAAAAGAGGAAGAGGAAGATTAGATGTTGGCAAATGACACAGAAACCGGAACGGCTTCCCAACCAAATCGGTCCCGTGCCGTTCGTTCCGCTTTCTGTGTTGGGTACAAGTATGAAGAGTTTCTGTTTCAATTTTTCTCTTATGTTTCGGATGGGTTTGAAGGAAAGAAAGGGGGATAATGTCAAGGTTTAGTTAGGCGAAAGATGAAGAAATCTTGAATGTTTGAATTCCAGTAGAGGGAAAACTTATCTTTTCGTTTTTCTTCCTTTTCCTTTCCCTTCTTTATTCGCTCATCATCTTCATTAAATGATTTCGATTTCTTTTCATCATTGTCATTAGATGATTTCAAACCATCGTCTTGGACGATCCTCTTTCCTTTGCAGACTGTTCCACTCGTTTCCAAAACTTTAGCTTTATCCTTTGCCGCCCCGAACCTGCCCATCTGTTTCCCCAATTGAATCTTGCGTTCTTTCACACTCTTGCCCGCGGCCGACCTCAGGAAGAATCTCCTCTCTTCCGTAGCTAGGTCGCAACGTATGTTACCGCACATCCTGCAACTCAATTTCTTCCTGTAATGTTTGTCGACGATACATCTCCAACGACCGGCTCGGCATGTTGAGCAAGCTGATTCGGGAGGCATTTCGTTGTATAGGTCTGGACGGGAGATGAGGGCTGCCTGATGGGTCAGTTTTTTGTCGTGGTTTTCGGGATGAGTAAGGTAAGATGAGACGATGGCAAGTGGGGGTTGGTATGGGTGTGGTAGATGAGTAAGGTAAGATGAGACGATGGCAAGTGGGGGTTGGTATTGGGTTGGTCGAATTTGTCCTCGGGGAACACACGAGCGTCCATGATCACCTCATCCAGGTTGGTGAGGGATTGGGGTGTGAGGAAGAAGCGGGGATTGGTAAGAGGGGAGTGGTGTGAGGTAAGAACGATCCAGTGAATGGTGAGAGACGGTTGAGAATGATCTCAGGGGAATGTGA